GGGAGGGGAGGGGAGGGTCAGGCGACTGAGATGGACCCCTCTGGCGCTGGTTCACTGTTGAATTCGATGGGATGCACGGCCTGGCTGTTGTTTCCTGGCAGGGACATCATGGCAGGGACAAACCTGGCTCATCTGGGGCAGGAACTTGGACCCACACAAGGGAGCAAGGGCATGTTGTGGGCCATGGCCAGCTGGCGTGGTCCCGGCTTGCCACCTGCTCACGGCCCACCTTCCTCCTCTGATCGCTCCACCGGCCTCCCGCTGCTGCTGGTGGCCAAAGCCAGGTGTCCCAGCAGCCTCAGCCCAGACACGCCTGCAGCATGTCTGCCCAGAGGTGTGCAGTGGACAGCAGTGGAGAAACCCCTCTGAGCTTGGCATCGAAGGAGTGGCAGAAGCCGGCTGGTTTGGAGAACGCGGTCACGGGGCAGCTTAGGGGCCCGTCTCTGTCAAGTCCTGCCCTCCGTGTGTGTGTGTGCGAGCGAAGAGTGACTGAGCACGTCTGTGTTCCCCGTATCCCCCTGAGAGCGTGTGTGTCCTTCCTACGCGCTTTGCCCGTGTGTCTTCACCCCCTCCGTGAGTTACGCTGCTCCCCGTGTAGCAGATCAGTCTGGATTCTGTCCTGACCGGTGGGTGCGTGAGACGTGTGAATGGTGCCGTTTGGGAGCAGAGGTTGTGTCAGTGCACGCAGTGCCCACCCCGCGGGGGAATGCAGCCTTTCCCGAGCTTTTCCACCCGGGATGCTGCCGCCTTTTCCCCAGGGGTGGGATCCGGTGCCTTCCCAGGGACCGCCCTGCAGGACCTGGACCAGACCTTGCACTGGGCTCTTGTTTGCAGCACCTTTCCTGGGCACTTGCATTCTTGCAGCTCTGCCCCCACTTCCCACAGCACTGCTTCCACCACCGCCCCCGCCCCCCCGTGGGTCCCAGCGTGGGACAGGACTGCTGCGGAGGGCGGGCAAAGAGAGCCAGACTAGCTGAATTCACAGGGAGCAGGACTGTGACCCAGAACCGTTTTCCCAAGAGCAAGGGGCTCCGAAGCCCGCTTGGCTGCCCTTGGAGGGGCCGCTGGCACGCCACTCGTGCTGCTCGCGGAGGAGCATTTGGCAGTAACCCCCAGCCAAAGCGAGGCACGCGGAAAGCCCCGGGCGTCATGCAACTGCTTTGAGGAGCGCCACTTTTTCAATCTAAATGGTGGCTCGCACATTTTCCCTGGACAAGAAATCAAGCAAACAGTAGCAAATTACATCTCCAGCAAACTTTGTTTAATTGCCATTTTGCTTTAACTGTACAAATTCTCTGTAGCGCACTATGCATTTTTAAAATGTAAGTACGACGATTCTTTTTCTTCAGTTTTTCTCTTTCCTCTTCGAAAGTAAAGTGATAGGCCTCCTTAGACTTTGCCTTCTGTTAGCTCAGCCTGCCAGTTGCTAATCACACGGTCCTCTCACTGCTTCCTTGCCCAACACCCCCAAAATTGTAGAAGGTAAGCAGCATTTACTTAATTAATGTATAGTGTGCTTTTAAAAGATGTGTTGGCGTGGTTATTCTTTGACAACAAGTAAACATCTGTGGTGAGACGTAACCCTTTTGGGTGGCGTTTCAAGTGCCCATTTACAAATGCCAAATTGAGCAGCGAGTAGCAGTGCGCACACTGTCTACATGAATACAAAATGAAACCTTTATTGTCAGTGCTATTACGGTGCATACCAAATGATTTCCTAATAATGAGGTTTCTTATGGATGCTGTTGGCCCAATTTGTTACTAAGGGCAAAACGTTGTTGTTTATTTGCAAGGAGTTCATCGGGGTGGACCAAAAAGGCAAAAGATGTTGTTAATCCGGTTGTTGCTGTTTTTCTAATCAGCTACAGATGTATACACTTTGAAGCATGTGTGTTTTTCCTATTAGCTACAGTGAAGATATTCAAGAGGGAACTAATTTGTTAGCATTTGAATTTTTAATGTGCAAAACACACTGAAAAATCTTTCCATTAGTCCAAATCTACAAAACATCTTTGCTTAGTTAACAATTATTATTCTCCTGTCCTTTGTTGCTATGTACTTTAAAGGCAATAGTGAGTTGTAAAAAATGAAGATAAACAAGGATAGCGCCTGCGGTGCATGTGGGAAGGAGTCCTGGGTGGATGTGGGGGGAGTTGCTGGTCTCCCCGCTGTATGGCCCTCCTTTCTGCCCCGGGGGCTGCCGCAAAGGGTCCCCCAGCAGAGGAACGTTCAGAAACCACTGGAGTGTTCCTAGCAAGGAGAAGCGCCTTCCCATGGTGAAGGGGGATCTTTCCACCCAAGCCTCTAAGGAAATGGCTGGCTTCGTTTCAGGCCCTTGCAGGGATCCTGCTGATTTTGCTTCCCCTCCTTTCCACTTGACATAAAGGATGCATGGCCAAATGGCGGGAGAACCAGTCCTGATTCGTTGCTTCCGAGTCTCTGTTGGAAGCGTGCTGATTTGCTCCTCGAGCTTCAGGACCCGGTTTCTCACTTCCTGCCTGGTGTGAGCCTTCCATTCGCCCCACATGGCGTGTCCTCAGTTTGGCCGTAGACCTGTCGCAAGCTGCACTTGAAAGCCCCTGGGCATCCAAACCCGTTTGCTGTTTGGCAAGAAGGATGGGGGGAAGGAGCCACGGGAAAAGCGCCAAACCCTCTCTAGGGAACGCCCGGGCTTGGGGGTCGCGGCCCATGCTTTGCATGCAGAGGCCCCTGGCTCCGTTTTTAGCCTCTTCAGGGGGAGGAGATCGAGGCTTGGAGAATCCTTGCCTGAGGTCTTGATTGCTGCTGCTAATCCAGACCCAAATGACTGGACTAGGGCATCCCTCAGTTTCAGGCTGCTTTGTATTTTTCAGCCTTGGGCCTGGCTTCAGGGGAAGGAGAGGGCTTGCGAGTCATGGAGGCGGCAGCCCTTTGGGCACTGAAGAGCCAAGTTCTCTGATTAATGGGACCAAATTGGCCTGCCAGGGACTGGGCGCCAGGACACCCCCGATGGCCCCTTTCCCCTGGCCACGGCTGGGCGCTCCCTGGCTTTTGTGCCATTCTTGCCAAGCGTTCCAGAAGGCGGAAAGCTCTTCCGAGGGTTGTTGGTGGGAAGCGAGGGCTCTGAGCGAGGCCTTTTGCTCTGCCCCTTCTCCTTGAACCCTTCCCACCACTGAGGTGCCGCCACAAAGGATTGTGTGGCATGGCATTTGAGCCTCAGCCTGGAAGAGGCTGGACAGTCCCTGTGGAACGGACCGCAGGAAGCCATCTGGGAAAAGCCCGTCATCGCAGGCTTTCCGGAGCTGCTTCCCACAAGCACTGGGATAAGTTCGGGCCACCTGCAAACCGCCTCTTGACATTCTCCGGCCGATTCGTGGGTGGAGGAATCCAAGGTGCGGTTTCAGCCCTTCCTCCACAGTGAGGGAGCCGTTCTCGACAGCCTCTCACAGGCATCACTCCCCATGGGCAGGAATCGTCGGCGGGCTCCTTCCTTTTCCGCAGCGAGGGGTTTTGGCCTTGTGTTGTGCTGCTGCTGGTCCCGTCTTGCATCTGCCACAGCAGAGCAACAAAGGGCCTGCAGCTGTGTCTCGACCCAACTCTCCGGACTCCACAACGGCCCTGAAAATGTGGTACCCACTGGGAGAAGACTATAACGTATATAATGGAGCTGTGAGCGGAGAGGTTTGGAGAAACCTGGAATAAATGGGCAGAAATAGCCGGAGAAGGATGCTGTTCTTCTCGTGAGCTGCAGACGATGAGTCAGGATTCCCAGCGCCCATAAAAATAACCTGTGTCAAAATCCTCCCTCAAGCTCAGAGCCCCACCAGACAGTCCCCGTTTGGCACTTAGGAGGTTGCTCCCACCAAGGCTCCGAAAATGGCCACCCTCACGTCCTTCCTGAGCGCTTGCCTCCCCGAGTGCAGGGCGAGAGTCTGGCGGGGGAGAGGCCAACACCCAGGCCAGCACGCATGCTGAGCGGCCACTTCGCCCTTGGCAGGCTGAGCACGAAGGCCTGGGCGGCGCCTCCAGCACTGATGGAGCCGCTGCGACCGGAAAGCCTGATGAAGCAGGCCTTGCAGTCGCGGGACCTGGGCCAGCGCGTCCGGCTGAGCCTGCTTCCAGAACCCCCTCCAGACCTTCGCACTCGGCCGCAAAGGTGTGCGAGGCCGGTGCTCGCAGCAGCCTCTTGGAGGAGGGCTCCAGGTGTGCCCACATCTCCCTTCCTCCCCACTCTGCCCCGCACACGAGCAGACAAATCCCAAGGTGAGCAGTTCCCTGGCGCCACGCCGTGCCTCCCTGTCGGGGTCACAGGCATCGTTACACGTGCCTGTATTGCGATACCTGTGCCTGGCTATTGCTCTGGAGTTTCCGATGATCTCAGAGATGGACCGATGCACCGCTGCCCACAGCGCTGTGTCTGGGCATGCCTGTTCGGAAGTGGACGCAGGAGGGAGAGCGCTGGGCACCCCAGCCGACCCTCCAGAACGCAAAAAATGCTCTCCCATCCCCGAGTCCTGTTAGGTAAAGCCCCTCTTAATCAGCTCAGTGCCGCTGCAGTGATAAAGCTGCACGCGCCTTTCTAATAATGGATTAGATTTATTGATGAACCCCGGGTGCGTCTCGGAGGAATTCTTTCGGCTCCTCATTAATTGTGAGAAATAAATAGCATGTTCTTGCGGTAACATTTATTCCACAGAAGTGCCTTCGTTTCCTTGTTTCAAAGATTTCAAACCACCTCTGTGGGAATTGGGGGTCTTTGTCGATAGAAAAATTAGCTGTCTGAAGAGTGAAAAGCACAACACTAATCACGGGGCTCCATCCCTGTGTTTCACCTGACAGTATTATTAGGATAAAACGGAACTCCTTCCATCTTTCTTTTGCCGCTGTTGAGGAAGGTGGGCATCACACGCCATTGCAGCTCTTCGAAAGCCCACGCTGTGCTGAGTGCCCTCCCTGGCTGTGCTCCCCTCCGTAATTTCTCCAAGCAGTGGTGCTAAGCACCCAGACCAGGTGCTTAGCACCCAGTCGTCCTCAGTGCACGACTCCCTACCAAGGTGTAGGGCCTTCTTCTTTCTGGTTATGGCGTATTAAAAGTATTTCTGATATACGGACTAATCTTTGGAGATGTGTTATGTGGAGGATTGGATCCTGCTTCGTCAGTGTGGAGGGCATACCAAATAGGTAAGGCAATAACTTGGTTGGAACAGCTTCTGTCAAAAGACTGTGCAAACTTTCAGGTTGCTCAGAAATACACAAAGAAGTCACTTGTTGTATCCAACATGGAAGCTGGTAAGTGCCAGAATATTCTAAGCCTTTGTATTTTCATTTGAAAAGAAACGTGTACTATTTAGGCATGCCAGGAGACTGTCGTGCTATAATTAGGGGATGAAATTTCTCCCAGTGTGGGCACCAGCAGCCGAGAGCAAAGTTTTGGCTGGCAAACTTAAAATGTCTAATGCAAAGATCTGAATCCCGGGGTCCTACAGGTAGCTTCTCCCTCCCTCCCTCCCTCTCTCTCTCTCTCTCTCTCACACACACACGCACACACACACGTGTTGGTCCAATGGGAAGAGGTTGGCACATTTCTTTTCCCTTCCTCCCAGTTGCAGCCCAGCGATCTCACATAGGAGGGGTCACACTTTAGTCACCTGTAACAGAAACTGACACAGACAGCTCTTTCTTCATCATATTTTGGAAGCGCTTAAGAGCATTTGTATGTTTCCATTTTACAATTTCTTTATCACGTTCTATGAAAGCTCAGATGTTACTACGTCAACATCTTATCAGTTTCTTTTCTTAAAATAAAATCAAAATCAACTTAAGAGTTCACAACTAGAAAGCAACAAATCACAACATGAAAATTACAATGCTCTCATTGCGACACAAATCACTAACATGCCCTTCAGGTTCAACCCATTTCTTTCCTTCTTATAATCAGGGGACCTTCTGTGAGATATCAGTGGATGTGTTGGTCAGGACTAACCAAGTAAGGTTTGGTTTTTTTTGTCATCTTTAGGAACTCAGGAATGCTCACAGTGAGCAGCTCATGGGGATCCGTCGAGAGGAAGAAATGGAAATGTCCGACGATGACAGTACGGACAATCTCAGTAACAAAAAGCTGAGGGTTGACGAATCAGGTAAAGCTGCAAACCTCCCATTTCTGCACGTCACGCTGCTTTCGGTACGGAAGGGGCCTATTCCACTCGTGGGTCGTTAGCTTCATTATTTCCTGGCATTGCATTTTCTATGTTTTTAAGAACAGCCTAGCCACTACATCTGCAAGAAGCTCACCTGCCAGTATTGGACCTTACGAAGATACAAAGCAATGGCCTTTGGTGCCAACGCACGAACCTCCATGCAGTATTTTATTTGAAGCTAATTAAAGAGCAGGCAAGCCAGAAGGTTGATTCATGCAAGCCCCCTGTTGATTTATGAGCAAGTGTTTCAGGGGAAGTACCTTCATTCTAAATCTTCCTTTGGTTCCTATACATTTGTGCAGTTATTGGGGTGAACATTTATGAGGGATAGATCACGACGAAACTTTCAAGGCTTTTCTCACTCAATCACAGCCCCTTGCTTGCTTGCTGGCTTGCTTGCTTCAGTCCTTCCAGTCATGGCTGGCCTGTTTTTGCCCCTCTGGTCAGCTCTGGGCTGTGTTTGAAGGTAAGGGAGCTCAATTTATTGATTATTTGTGATGAAAAGAGGGCCTTAAAGCGAGCATAGTTCTGCTGTCCAGAAAGCAACGGCAAAATGAAAGCCATTAATTACATTTCTTTATCTCGATATGTTAGACACTACTGTTGAATTAGATGCTTCTAAGGGGACATTACCCATTACATGATTTGTTCCATGTTAATTTGTAACATGATTTGTTCCAGGAGTTAGGTGGTTATGGGTTTTTTTTGCTATGTTTTCTATCTCTACTATTTGTGTTTAATGTTTTCTCCAAGAAACTTTTGCCATGGAGCGACTCTAAGGGGAGATTGCACAGGAAGCAAGTATGGTGTTAATCGACTAGTTAAACTAGCCTGCCCGGGCAACAAGCATCCGGGGTCCCTGCAGGCCAGGTCTCCAAGCGGCTCCACGGAAACGCACGCAGAGCAGGCCCTGCAAGGCCAGCCTCTTTCCTCTCCTTGGAGGAGGACCATGGCAGAGGAGTGAGGGCAAAGGGCCAAAGCCCTTGTGCAGGAGGGAAGAAAACCCCTTGGCGTGATCCATCGTACCTCGAAACTCCAGCATGTTTTGCTTCTCCTGGTTTCCCTTAGAGGTGCTTCACGATATATTCCACGGACCATCCAGTGGGAGTCACATGAACACACCTCAAACCGGTGCATGCCTGAAAGGCACTCTTGGTTCAAATGATCGATGAGGGGCGTCAGTCCCTGCAGGGGTTGGCCGCATGTGGCCCGCGGGGGGCAGGCATCTCCTCCCCCCACCCCCAAACATGGTTGCAAAGGCAATTGGCGATTTGCCACTGAAATCTGAGCGCAGAATTCCATGGAAGCTTTCAAGAGACGACTACAGCTTGAAACATAGCCAGCTCTTTTTTTTCCTTTCACTGCTGCACCGTCAAATCCGACACCTCAGGAGTGGCCGGAGCATTCACCACTGTATCCCACTGTGCAGACGGGTACCGGAATCCAGACAGGGCCCACCACCCGTGCCAGCCCTCTCTCGTTTTCTTCCCTTGGAACCACATTCCCAGTGACCACTTTGAATTTTCCGTTGTCCCCAGCACCACACTGGTTGGGGCCATCGTGAGAAATCAAGATGGCGGGCAGTCCCAAAGCCTGGTGCAGCTTCTCTGCCACCAAGGGGCCTCCTGATGTTCCAGGGGCCCACCAGGGGGCAGTGTTCCCAGAGATGCCTCAGGTCTGGAGCTGAGCTCATCTCTAACTTGTCAGGATTGCGATTTGCTCTAATTTGCCCTTGCAGGTTTGCTTCACTGCATGAATAAAGTTACTTTAATGCTGGTAATGGAATTTCTTGATCATTCCTTTCATCATCCAATATGTGCCTTTATTTCTGCTTCCTCCTGTAATTGAAATTTCTAGCTGAGGGCTAACACCAACCTTCATCAAGGAGATAAACTGTTGCCTAATCTCAGTTGCTTCAATTTGGTTCTAAAGGTGCATTCACACTTACAGATTTTTGTTGAGAAACTGCAGCTGATTATGTTCCTATGGTAACTACTCCCTTTTATCCATGTCCTATCATCATGCCTGTTACAGTTATTCCGTTTGCACTGGCTCCTTTGTTCTTGCACATTGTTCTTGTTTCCTGCAGGTGGAAGAAGAATATGGAAATAGCATCGCAAACAAATGTGGATGTGTATATAGCTTTGCAATGGCTTTGTTCGCGCTGTTGGTGCTTGAGATTGGCTGCACGCCCTTGCTCCTTTAGAGCAAATAATGGATTCCTTCAGAGGATTGTTGAGCTGATAGGTCAGGATGAGGCAGGGCAAGGCCACTCAGCATCAGAATGAGGAATTACTGCTCGAATTCTCTCATAGGCCCCTCTGCCTTGTAGCGTCAGTGGTCGTGATAGATTCAAAACTGTTGGTGCGTCTCCCAGCACTGGCTAACCCAACAGGACTGGACTGAACTTCCAGGAAAGTACAAACCCATGAAATGCTGTGGGAAACTAGTGAGAGAAAACGATGCCCTGTATGACATGCTCTCCATCCACCCTAAAGAATTTCGCGATATAGGCAGTGGACAATCATGCAAAACCATTTGATGCTCTCTAATTTTCCATTGCATCAGAACCATCTTCATAGATATCCGCTTATTTTCCGTTTTTTTTTTTTTGGAGATCCCATTTGTACTGCAACACCGTTCTAACAAATTCATTCATTAGGAAAAGAAATTATGTCACCCAATAAGAAAAGCAGAGCTTATTCAAGACAAAAGTGGTCATTGGGTTAGAATTCTGAATGAGTTTCTGTGAGCTGCCTGCGGTTCCCGCTCTTGCATGTGACGACTTTCAAATCGGCCCCTTTGCTATATGAATAACCTGATCCTTTTCATAAGCTTGGAAAAAGATGTATAAGAAGGTGGAGGAGTGACTTCCCATTCTGCCAGGAGCCTGCCAATCAGTAGATGCACCGCCCCTTTGGCTGCAAGCAGAAGGACTGTGCTTGGTGCATCCGTAAAGGTTGGGTGTCTGGCCAAAACAGCCTGCATTTCATGCTGCAGAAGGCTCCTCCCAGAAGCATTCCTTGGGTACCATGTGGACAATTGGTTTGCGAGGATATAAATTGTAGAAGGATGATTCCCACTCACTAATGAGCCCATACCTCCTCGCATGATTCCTTTCCCGGGTTTTCCCCTTTAGCAAACAGCAATGTATAGTGCTACTTGGTTATCACTTACTTTCCCTTCTCTGATTTCATTAGAGATTTCAATGTCAGTTCTATTCTTTCTGGATCATCAGCACAGAACTAGGATAGCTGTTCCTGCCTGCTTTAAGGTCACTTCACACACAACAGGAAGGAAATGACAGGCCCAAGTTTCCTTGTAATATGTGAAGCGGGGAGAACCAAGTTACCCTTTGAAAACCTAAGCTGGTGCATGGGGAGGCCTGTGGGCGAGAATTCCCCACGAGTTGCGCACATGTGCCTCCAGCGCAAATGTTGCAAAAGAAGGGAGCAGACACGTTGTGGAAATGAGAGGAACAATCTTGTTGGTAAGAGCTGAAGTAGACCTGATAAGGATGCCTAATGCAGAAGGGAAGCTGGATAAAAGGTAATTTGTGCTTGTTTAGGAAGCAGGATATGCTGTGCTGAAGTAAATGGCTCTATTGGATTCATTGGTCTAGAAGAAGAGCCCGGTGTAGCGATAGTTTTGCGATCTGCTTGCTTTCAGCATACACAAAGTAATTGGTTTATAGGGAAGAGATTTTTAAATGGCTAATCTAGATTTGGCAGCTTGGCGGCTTTACAGCTGAGGGTGGAGAGAACGCAGCTTAAAGAATGCAGTGAAAGGTACTTCCCTGGGTGGGAGAAATGCTATATCGCCCTTTTAAAATGCACACACAATTTGGCATAGCATTAAGGTGCTTAGCTAAAGCTGCCGTTGCGACCCCAGCTGTGTTTGGCGGAGATTTGCGTCACCTCTGGTGGGACTGAAGGAATGAAGTGTCCGTTGCTGACGTAAAGCCACAAAAGGCTTCCTTTGCTTTGCTCTTACGAACAGGCCACTGGCTCAACTTAATAAAAATGTGAAAATGGGGGCTCGCTGCTGAAGCAGTGATTCAAGAGGGGAAAAGTCACCCTGTCCAAGAAGTCTTTAGATCAAATCCCGTCTTGTGGCTCTCCCACCTACTCTGAAGTAATTTTAAGAACCATTGAAGTGCAGCCGAGTGCATGCAGCTAGCTGGAGAGATTTTTACCCTTAGGATATATTTGTAATTTCCCATGTAATGGAAGGGTGGTATTGTTCCGCTCCTAATGCAGCTGTGCTACACACAAGCTCTCCATTATGGCTCCAGAAAGTGAAAGGCTTTCGCAGGAAGCGTGTGAAAGAAGAAAAGTCTTTCCTTGCCGTGGGCTCCTTGGCATGAAGGACCTTCCCAGGGTGCTGCTGGCTGCAGGCTTGCTTGACCTCTGCCAGACACATTAGCAGAAGCCAGAACCCTTCAGGTCTGTATAGTTGCCTGTTGGGTCGGTTACTCATCTAATTACATTTGGAGCCAGACTCTGCATTTCATTCATCGCATGGCGAGCAAGTCACCGCTGGACTCTGCCTGCTGGACTCTATTGGCTTCCCCAGAGAGAGAGAGAGAGAGAGAGAGAGAGAGAGAGAGAGAGAGAGAGAGCGCCGCTGCAGGCCGGCGTGTGGAGTGGAGAAGCCAGCGCCGCTGGCCAGCCCCCTCCATTTGTTTTCTGCTCAACTTGCTCATTCTTCCGCAGCCCCGTGATCTTTCCTTCCCCTCTCCGTCCCTAAGGAGAAATTCTTCTTCTTCTTCTTCTTATTATTATTATTATTATAATAACATTATTATTATTATTATTATTATTATTATTATTATTATTTATAAATTGAACACAAAAGGCAGGGAGCCAGCTGCACCTGGGGCTGGTTGCTTGCGAAAGGCATGGCTTGAGTTTTTGTAATCTGACAGAACTAATTAATTA